ATCAGAAAAAGAGGTCAGAGGTAAGACTGTTGACTGTAGCTGAAATTACAAAAGGGGCTAAGGAGACCCAGAAGTACACTAAGCCTTACTAGAACTGCAAACAAGGCTTGACTGAAAATAATGTTAGTATAGTGGTGGAAAGGATGACCCCTCTCAAGAAAAAGAACATTACTTGGAACCACTACCTTTTCTAAGAAAAATATACAGAACTTATTAGTAAATTACTAGACATATCAAAGGATAAGATTACATAATGGAAAACCAAGAGGAAAAAAGAGATAATAGAAATATATCTACAAATGTTCTTGACGAGCTTTTTGAAATAACTATGGTTAAAGTATTTAAGAAATTAAAATTAAAGGAAAAGGTGAAGAAAATGAAATAGATGAGAAAATTTCACAAAGTAGAATGTAGAATGTATAAGACTGACACAGCATAGAACTGAAAGTATTACATATCTGATATGAAGATCTATAGTTGGTTTAACAGCAGAATAGAAACAACCAAAGATAAAAGCACTGAACAAGAATATATCCAGACTGGGCATGATGGCTCATGCCTATAATCTCAGCACTTTGGGAGGTTGAGGCGGGTGGATCACTTGAGGTCAGAAGTTCGAGACCAGCCTGACCAACATGGTGAAAACCGTCTCTACTGAAAATACAAACATTAGCCAGGCGTGGTGATGGAGACCTGTAATCCCAGTTACTCAGGAGGCTGAGACAGGATAATTGCTTGAACCTGGGAGGCAGAGGTTGCAGTGAGCCGAGATCGTGCCACTGCACTCCAGCCTGGGTGACAGAGCAAGGTTCTTTTAAAAAAAAAAAAAAAAAAAGGATATATCCAAATGGAGAAAGGGAAGAAGAGATGGATGAAATGTATATAAAATTCAGAAAAAAAGTAGAGACAGAAGGGAAGCAGTTAAAATGTCTAACATAACTATAATTGAACTTTAAGAGGAGATAACAGATTGGTACAAAGCAATATTTGGAGGGGTAAAACTGATTATTTTCCAAAAGTGACAAAGACATTAACCTATAAATTTAAGAACCCCAAACAGTATAAACAAAGAAGAAGAAAAAAAAAACTGACACAGGCAAAAGAACAAAAATATCTTTCTTAAAAAGAAAGAAGGAAAGAAAAAGACATGCAACCTTAATAGAAGCAATGGCAATATTGACAACTGAAGCCTCAATGATGAAAGGCAGGAGACAATGTAATAACATCTTTAAAGTACTGAAAGGAAATGCCAACCTTGGCTTTTATGGCTTGCAAATATATCCTAAAAATAAAGATGAAATGAAAACATTTTCAGACACACACGTACAAAAGCTGAGAGAATTTATCCGTAAGAAATCTGTACTGAAAGAAATTTAAAATGGAGTTCTTCAGCAGAAGGAAAGTTATATCCAATGGAAACACAGAAATTCAAGAAGACATAAAAATCAATGGTTAAGAAAACTAAATGGACAAAAATAAATGACTAGGGATTGAATGTTAATGATACAATACAATAATATTGTGTGGGGTTTAATTAGATATATAGAAATAAAAAGTATGAAAACTATAAGAGAAGAAGCGAGTGTGTAAATGGAATTAAAATGCTCTGAATTTATAACATTTTAAGGAAGAGTCAAAATTTCTATTTACAAAACACATTTTAAAGGTAGTAATCATAAAGATTGCAAGAAAAAGGGAAAACATATAAAGTACACACAATAAACAAAAAAGCTTGAGTGTGTCAAAAGTTGATCTCAAAGAAGAATCATTATTTGAAACAAAGAGGACATTTCATAATGAATATATCACTTTTATTATAATTCCTGTATTTATAATGTCTTTCTTAAAACCCATGTAGCTGGATCCTGTTTCTTTAACTCAGTGTAACAACCTTTATTTTTTAATTGGACTGTTTAATCTATTTATATTTAATGTAAAATGTGATTGAAATTATGTGTAATGTATCATATTAGTATTTGAAATCCAGGATTCTATTATAACAGTCCTAGAGAAACCAGATAAATCTACCTCTGTCTTGTCAAATGGTCTAATCCAAGGTTATCCAACTTGCGGCCCATGGGCCACATGCAGTCCAGGACAGCTTTGAATGTAGCCCAACACAAATTTGTAAACTGTCTTAGAACATTATGAGATTTTTTTTAAACTTTTTTTTTTTTTTTTTTTTAGCTCATTAGTTATTGTTGGTGTATTTTTTATACGGCCCAAGAAAATTCTTCTTCTTCCCCAGTGTGGCCCAAGGAAGCCAAAAGATTAGACAACTCTGGTCTAATCTCTCTGCACATTGACATCCCTCATTTGCTTCACTTTTGCCTCCAAGTGTTGCAATAGTGCAACAGACTAGCAGAAACTAAGGCACATACAAGCACTGTAGATGCAAAAAGTCTGTACAGAAAAGCAGTCCAGAAAAGGTTCCGGTGGATATTGAGTGAACTAACATATGGGATTGACTATAAGCCAAGTAAAGGGAATGGGAAAGTAAGATATCAAAAAAGAGAGAAAAGCACCTTTCAAGATATATTGGCATACAGCCATGTGAGTAGAACCAAATTTCCGTGGCCTCCTTTCCTTCTTGTATTACAATTTAGAAACTAGGACTTAGGAGATTCACAATGCTTCTCTGTAATGTATAATAAAGTTTTGGGGAGTGTGTATGTGCTTTGGACACCTTGGTCAAATGACTTATCCTACTAGGGCTCAGTTTTGTCATCTAAAATTCAGTATAATAATACATTACACAGTTCATAGAACTGTTGTAAGGGTTAAATTAAATAAGACAAAGTACAGGCAAGGATGTAGTGTAGTCCTGAAACATGGAAGATATTTAACATGTGTTTCTGTTATCTGGCAACGATCATGGCAGTTTATAAAAAGAAAGAGGACTTGGGACAAGTGATGTGCTTACTTACTTTACTTTCTTCGATTAGGAGTCAATCCTACTAGGCCAATAGCCAAAGGAAATGGTGAGCAGAACTTATGGTGGCACATTCATTCTTCACTCACATGTGAACACAATATAATTTCATGTCTCCTTGATAAAACTACTTTTCTACAGGGGAAAATAAAAGGCAAGTAGAGAGATTTCAGCCTACAGATGAAATACACAGTGTAACACGAGACAGCTGTTGCAGAGCCAACAAAAAAATAATGTTCTGTTAAGTGAGTCACAGTTCCTTGAAATTGTATTCCATGCCCACAAATGCAGAAGGCTCCCTGAAGTTGGGTTATTATTATCTTTTTTTTTTTTTTAAGTTTCATTGAGGTATTCGTTATATGCGATAAAAATAATCAATTTTAAGTATACAATTCCATGAGCTTCGGCGAATAACTACAATGGTAACCAACATGATATAAAACAGAAACTAATCCTTTCCCCGACAACCTGGACCTTGGGCTAACTGATTTGCTTTTTGTCACATTAGTTTTGCTTTTTCTAGAAAAAGATATCATACAATATATAATCTTGGTGGCTGGTACCTTCTATTTAGTAATGTTTCTGAACTTTTTGTGTTTGTTATGGTCTGTCTAATGAGTATTTTCCCCTAATTGTCTCTCCCCACTTAATGAAATTTTGCTACCACAGATATATCTATATGTCTATGTACTGTGTATACACCTGTGCTTTATACAGAGTAAGATTTTTTTTTTCACAGCTCAAAATGTTTTGCCCCTTACAAGGTGCTGTCACCCCATTGAGAATACATGATTTAGTGTAATGTTTTTGAGATTCATCAGTATTGTGTATATCAGAAGTTGGTTCATTTTACCGCTGGGTAATATTCCGTTATACAAAGAGACACTCAATAAATGAATAAGAATAATTGCATATGTGTTACAAAGGTCAGGGATTGAGTGCATAATGCAATTACTGTTCTTTCTCAAATCTTAGTCTCCCTGGTGTCAGTAGACATACCTCTAATAACACAATTGTTCAAGTCAAAAATCCGAGAGTATCAAGACACTTCATTTTGCCTCATTTCCCCATATCACAGCCATTAAAGCCTGCCAATTTCATCTCTTGATTATTGCTTGAATCTTGTCTCAAGGGATCAGATTTTGCCACTATAACCCAGAACATTCCAGACATGTAAGGCTATCCATCTTTATCTTGAAAGAGATGGGAAGCCATTGAAGGGATTTAGATAGGAAACTGACATGACTTTCCCATGAAATTAAAAGATTACTAAATCTTTTATAACAAGCAATGAATAAGAATATGGAGAATGAACTAGAAAGGACTGACTGAGAGTATTTGTGGAGCGGATCTTTCAGGAGTCCAGGGGATAAATGACAATGGCTCTGTCATGAATTTTCAAGGCCTTTGAGAGTAGATGAGAGATTGGAAGACATTCTATATTTTCAGTGGGGCCCGTGGGAAGGCTTAGCAAGGCCTCACTGCTGGATGATAACATAATTATAATGAGAAATTCAGGTAAACCTTCCTATTGCTTGCTGCTGCCTTGACTTAGGTGATATTTTTGGTCAAATTAATCATATTCTAAATGAATTAAGTATGAATATTCTTGGGTTATTTGCTAATAAGTAAGAAAGAATTAGAGAATTGCAATCATGCCCATAAGAAAAAAAAAATTGTATACTTCATGAATCTGTTAATCTTTCTATCCATCTTACAACTTTTTAAAGGGTTACTGTAGTACTAGTATCCAAGTATCAGCTCCAGATGGTCTGCAATCCTCCTGAAGTTTTACATAAATTGTCTTATCTACATACACATCTCTGGGGGGCCACTTGAAGATTAAAATTCGATTTTTATTCCTATTAAAGAGTAAGATTCAATGGCTTACTGTGCTTTAGGTTTAGGATATGCAAACATTCATAGGACATAATCTTCATTCTTAAAGCATGTAAAGTTTATACCATGTAAGGAGATAAATGACAAAGTCACATTGTCAGTGCTAGAAAAGAGATAGGAACAAAGTTCTGAAAGCTTGTCAGTTACTCTGGTGCTTTGTCTCCTCCAGGTGACTTCCCAAGTATGCCTGGCCACAATACCTCCAGGAATTCCTCTTGCGATCCTTTAGTGACATCCCACTTAATCAGCCTCTACTTCATAGTGCTCATTGGAGGGCTGGTGGGTGTCATTTCCATTCTGTTCCTGCTGGTGAAAATGAACACCCGGTCAGTGACCACCATGGCGGTCATTAACTTGGTGGTGGTCCACAGCGTTTTTCTGCTGACAGTGCCATTTCGCTTGACCTACCTCATCAAGGAGACTTGGATATTTGGGCTTCCCTTCTGCAAATTCGTGAGTGCCATGCTGCACATCCACATGTATCTCACGTTCCTGTTCTATGTGGTGATCCTGGTCACCAGGTACCTCATCTTCTTCAAGCGCAAAGACAAAGTGGAATTCTACAGAAAACTGCATGCTGTGGCTGCCAGTGCTGGCCTGTGGACGCTGGTGATTGTCATTGTGGTACCCCTGGTTGTCTCCCGGTATGGAATTCACGAGGAATACAATGAGAAGCACTGTTTTAAATTTCACAAAGAGCTTGCTTACACGTATGTGAAAGTCATCAACTACATGATAGTCATTTTTGTCATAGCCATTGCTGTGATTCTCTTGGTCTTCCAGGTCTTCATCATTATGTTGATGGTGCAGAAGCTACGCCACTCCTTACTATCCCACCAGGAGTTCTGGGCTCAGCTGAAAAACCTATTTTTTATAGGGGTCATTCTTGTTTGTTTCCTTCCCTACCAGTTCTTTAGGATCTATTACCTAAATGTTGTGACGCACTCCAATACCTGTAACAGCAAGATTGCATTTTATAATGAAATCTTCTTGAGTGTAACAGCGATTAGCTGCTATGATTTGCTTCTCTTTGTCTTTGGAGGAAGCCATTGGTTTAAGCAAAAGATAATTGACTTATGGAATTGTGTTTTGTGCCGTTAGCCACAAACTACAGTATTCATATTTGCTTCCTTTATATTGGGAATAAAAATCGGTATGGTGAGGTAAGAATGGTATTTCATTACTTAATCAAAACCATGCCTTGATCTACACAAAACGAAAGAACTATAAAATGTCAGAGCCTTCATTGTAGTCCTTATGGGATCCCTGCCATCTCTGAGTGATGCCCATACAAAGACCAGTGATGTTGATTCCACCTGGAGTTGCAATATTACATTATTTTCCAATACAGAATGTCTGATTGGCCCATTAAAGCAACATAGGTCTTAAGAATTTTAGAGTTTCATTAGCTCATTCTAATTTCCTCTGTTTGAAGCATGATCTTTTCTTAGGTTTTGGACTGAACTCGGCCCTTTAGTTCTTTTCATCCCACTTCATCTTAGGTAAGTAAATCCTGACCACCACCCAGCTCCAAAGACATAAACTCTCCTTGGCTAACCAGGTTAGATGTCCCATTCATCTCACACCCTGATGAAAACTGATAAGGGGAGAGAATAGTTAAAAATTTTTCTAGGGTATCATAACTCTGGTGGGAAGTCATCTGTCTAGAAATCAAGAGACAAAGAATGCGTGGCCTTCTGTTTTAACAAGGTTTTCTAGATTTGTCCTGTGAAAGGTCATTTCACGACATGGGGATCAATTTCCTCAATATCACCAATTGCACTGTTGCTTCAAAAATCATTTAAAAGCTTACTGGACATATCTACATAATGGTGAAACTGTAATTTAGAAAATATTCTTGACCAATGTGCTGGTAGGCATTAAAATGAGTTCCCAAGGGAAGTGATTAAAATTTTTTTCTCTTCTGTTTTTTGAGAGAATTTCTAGATGTCCTGGGCCACAGTTAATTAAGATTTTTAGGGGGGACAGAAAGTTATACTGAAATCTTTAGAGCTCCCTTCCACGGTTAAAATTATAGATATATATTTTAAATTGTACCTTAAGTTCTGGGGTACATGTGCAGAATGTGCAGATTTGTTACATAGGTTTACATGTGCCATGGTGGTTTGCTGCACCTATCAACCCATCTACATTAGGTATTTCTCCTAATGCTCCCCCTCCTCTAGCCCCCCACCCCTGGACAGGCCCCGGTGTGTGACGTTCCCCTCCCTGTGTCCATATGTTCTCATTGTTCGACTCCCACTTATGAATGAGAACATGCAGTGTTTGGTTTTCTGTTCTTGTGTTAGTTTGTTGAGAATGATGGTTTCCAGGTTAAAATTATATATTTTTAAATAAATGAAAACTATGTTTTTAAAAGAGAACTTTTGAGAAGTATATAGCAAAACCATTAATTTAGACTCTGTGAGATTAGGTTGCATGAAGAAGGTTTTCTGAATATTTGAAGGATGGATAAATAAATGTACTCGAAAGTAATAAAAGTATAATCCTTTAAAATATAGGAAAAATAACTAATGGGTACTAGGCTTAATACTTTAGGATGAAATAATCTGTATAACAAACTCCCATGACATATGTTTACATATGTAACAAACCTGCACATGTACCCCTGAACTTAAAATAAAAGTTTAAAGTAATAATAATAAAATAATTTGGATTTTCTTTCCAAATTCTGAGTTTCTTCCTGTAAAATTGTATTAATGCCTTGTGACATGTGACATGTTAAACTGACTTTATTTCAAGAACTTCCATTACTGGCTAGGTTGATACATTGGCTTGTGGATTTTTGCTTTTTGGGTTTTTTTACCTCCTGCCCATACTCTACTATCTTCAATGTTTTATCTCCTTAAAATTTTCGCAGGATCTGATCCAGTTTCATATTTAATGCTTCAGAAAACCTAGAGTAATTAGTAACATGAATAGAATAATGTAATGAATTAAGGGAACTTTTTTTCATCAAGATATATCTTCAAGATTTAAAAGTTTTTCTTAATTTATTATCACTCTGTGGATCCACAAATTCCTCAGATGAATAAGAAATACCTCTGTGAATTTCTGTGACAACTAAAATTAGTGAGCCACAGAAATTAATTTGAGGAAGCAGAAGGAGCAATGTAGTTCAAACACGACTTGTTTCCATATATTTTCTGTTTTATATATTCTTTTAAATGTCCTTTTAAAAAAGTAATATTTATTTTCTTTATTGTCTTTTTTCCCATTTGTTTTTTACATTTTTTCTTTCTCATTTTGGACCATAAAATTCATAAGACAATTACTAAGACCCCTGATAGTTTTAAGAAAATTTATAATACCTGTAAATATGTTTAAAAAAAAGAAATTTAGAAAATATTTAAATTAAAAGTATTCATTAGAATTTCATTACCTTGTAGATTATATCATACTCTCTTCCAGATTTTAGATATGTTGAGGTCAGGCAATTCAAAAGAATTAATCTCTGTATTAATCTGTTATAATATTAACATAACACTATGTTATTTTCATACATTATAATAAAGGGCTTATTAGAAATGTTACTCAAAAGATAGAAATGCAATATTTCATAATATAAAATATCTTTTTCATCAGAATTTACAGAGTAAATAGAAAAATTTTAGTTTTCCTGTTCTTTGTCTTTAATCAATACGGAAATGAACCTCATGTGGGATTGGGGGTGACATTGGCCTCTAGGGCCATTTTTGGATATCACCATTATAAGAGAGCGCTAGTATTAGCATTTGGTGGTGGGAGCCAAGGAATAGACATCCTGCCTTGCACATAATTGTCCGTACAATAAAGAACTATCAGGCCTTGCTCTCTATTTGAATGCCCTATTAGATATTAATGAAGTGAAACAAAACCATCAGAGCAGTTACCAGGTTTTACCCAGTTTTCATAAACACATAGTATTTTTTTGTATAGCTTTAATTCTCTGAATTTTCTGGAAATGCAATTATCATGGATTGAAGAAAGATTTTACTTTGGTTTCCTCTGAACTTTACCAAGAGTTGTTCAGTCCTTTGGAAATGACGTAAGTAGCAATGCCATTTATGACGTTAAAATATGACACAACATGCCTGTAGGCAGTATTTGTAGCTGTTGTATTCAGGGGATATTACATACAGGTGTCAGCATCAGACTCACTCATTTTGTCTCTTTATGTGGTGATGCCTAAGCATTTACACACTGAATTATATACTAGTATTGATAACTTTTCTTTTCATTACTCATTTATATTACAGTGAGAACATTATATGTAAAAATAATGTGTATGTTTACATTATCAGTGTAGAAAGCATATACATTTCATTCCGAAATGGTAAAATTATCTGTAAGTTTTATTTTAGAATGGTAAAACTATTATCAAATATTTGTGATAAAAAGCAAAATATTGGGTCTGAGAAAGCTGAGAACCACCAAATTACCACAAAGGGACAAAATGAGAGGGAAATTTATAAATTTTAACATTATAAACAGGAAAAATATTTCTGTGTTTCTGAGATACTTACCTCATCTTCATTCAATTCTAAATTACTTCTTTTGTTTCTAAAGCAATTAAATGCAACTTTTAGAAAAATGTGAAGAAAATATACATGTGTATTTTCTTTTTTAATGAGAAAAATATATTTTTTTCTGAGCCTCACCACTCTCAGATTGGCTCTTGATAAATATCTACCAGATTTTTAACCCAGGCATAATAATTTTTGAGGTCCAGGCAGAAGGATCTCTTCAGGCACCCATTTAAAGGGACAGTACATGCTCTTATTTATTCCTTAATTTTCCTGTGACAGGATCATTGAGTCTGCTGCCTTCCTCCCCAGCTTCATTTAAATTCGGGATGAAAAGATTGTTTCACTTGTAGGTGAAATGAACTTTTTGTAAAGTGATTCAAGAGATGCTAATGAATCCCTCCTGCCTCCCCAAATCCTCCTCAATGAAGCTGCCATGAAAACGCAATTGTTGGGTTAAGATTCAGTTTTTCTGAAGGAGGGTATTGAGCCAATCCATTCTCAGTCACTGGTTTTTGGTGTGAAGTTAGAATTTGGGATGCTGTCGTAGCTTTGATTGGATAGATTTTGTCCACTTTCCTCTATGAGACAGACAGAGGCCAAAGACTCTCACACCTATTGCGGCAGAAACAAGGAAGCTCTTCTTGTTATAGGGGCCAACTACAGCATTTTGTAAATACTTGGTACTGAGAGCTCCATGGTAAAGGGGCATAGGGATGGCAGAACTGCGGGGATAATGCCCAGAGATTGCAACATGCCAAGGGACACTCATGGGGATTGGAAACCAGGGGAATCTGAAGACCCAGCAGGAGCTGCTGGGGAATTGAGACCCAGGTCTGAGAACTGCTAGCTGAGAGCAGGAGGGGCTTGTGGGAGTCTTGCTCAGGAGTTCTGAGCAAACAGGACTGCTCTTGAAAAACAGGGCAATGGAGGCAGCAAACAAACAAGACAGTTTTGAACAGGAGGTAAGAAGGTGCTGGAGAGCATGATTTGTTTTATTTGCAGTTTGTCCTAATAGTTTATGTCATTAGCAATGAATGATTCCTGCCCTTTGTTGTTGATCTGGGCCACAGATCTCATGGAGGACAGGGTGTGGTTACAAAAATGTAACCACTGGCAACCTGATCAGAGATTTTGGATAAAGATCTCCAGCTCATCCCTAAGTCAAGTAAGAAAAGAATCCCTCGGAATTTAGAAGAGTCAGAAGAGTTTCCCTTCTGTTGTCAGGAAAGCATCATCTTACATGTCAGGAGTAGACACTTGCCAGAGTCTACACCTGCCTTCTGGCACCCTCAGGAGGGTCTGGAAAGACATCTAGGCCCCCTCTCCAGTGATGTTCAATTCTGTATAACACAGCACACCTCTTACCACAGCCCAGTTGGGTACCCCATTCTCTGAGTTGTCCTTTGCCTCTCAGAATTCCATTATTTTCATAGCATTGTGCTTAACAGTGGGGCACACTACTGACCTGTACACTTAAGAATGCCTTAAGTGGTTGATTTCATGTCATGCATATTTACCACAATAAACAATTTTTTAAATTAGAAGATATATATATATCATATATATATGTAGTTATATATATAACATTTCTAAATATATATGTGTATATATTTAGACACTTTAATAGGCAAGAACTGAGCTGATGGAGAAAGTTAAAATATTAGAAAGAAAAAAGCTAGTCTGAGACATAGAAAGAGTTCAGTCCTCCTATGAAGGGACTACCTATAGGGAAAGCAAATGGAAAACACTTCACATCTGGACATATCCTTGGAGAATGCTTTTAATATTAAGAACAAAGAATTAGTACAAAAAGAGCCAGGCAAGAGAAATGTTTACCTCTAAAAGAAAGAAAAACAGTTAAAGGTATTATTTTCCTTCACAGCCTAAGTGCCAGAAAATGGGAGTCAATGCCTTTTGGATTTTGGTTTAAAATGTCATGGCTAAGAACTCTCTAAGTAGGCAACTACTGTGCATGCCCCTGGGTAGACAAAGGGACTTGAGACGGATTTTCCTCTCCATCTCATGGCTTATCATCTCAAAGCCATTGCTTCTCCAACTCCAGGGTCTTCCCCAGGTAGGAGAGCAACTCTGCTTGATTATCTTGAGGCCAAATTATCTTTCCAGGAGGCAAGTTGCTGGTGAATCCTAACTTTCCTTTTAGAATAAAATCCATTCAGCACTCGGTCTAGAAAAATGTTTCTTTCATGATTCTGACAATAGGAAGGCAGGTTTCCCTGGCCTCTTGTTCTCATGTTCCATCCACTCTTAGAGCCACTTCCATGTCACTATTTCCTTAGTTAGACTAGAAAGAGCCAGATATCTGTTCTGAAATAATTGTCTCTCTCCTCCTATCACAACCATCTTCAAAATTTTGCTTTGCATTTAAATTTTTATTGCATATTTAGTTTCACAACCTTATTTCCTAAACTTTCCTAAAATTAAATTTCTGCCTTATCTCCATTTTTATCACAACCTGTTAACATATTTCACATTTAACCTCTTGTTCTACAGAAAACATTTATTTTGAATTTTGTCAGTGGTTTAAAATTGACCAGTACTGTCTACAATGTCTTTCTGTCTCATTCAGAAAATTCTATTCAAACATACTCTTTCTACCATTTGAGCAGTTCCGGTTATTGGCCACGTGTAGTTTTCCCCTCTTATTCCTGTATTCCTAAATATGCGATCTCTAGGCCTTAGTTTTTCTTACCAACTGTGTCAGTGGCTTCTTCTCATCAAGTCCTTATTATCAGATGCTATTAGAGGCTTCTACTTAAATGTAAAAATTGGAGATGGATTACCAGTTCCTAGTGTTAAGTGCCCAAGGGCAGGAAAGAGGTTGTAGGGATTATGGAAAACTCTATTAACACTGCAGTTTCTTTTGTATAGTTATTAATTCCCTTGTGTAAAGTGGTCAGCCCTGTGTACCCACAATGATTCTGGAGTGAAGAAACTGCCTTTTTTGTGTGTGTACAAACCCTCTCCCCCCAATGTCAGTGAACCTCCAAGTAGCCTTCAATCCACAAATGACAGGTGCTGCTTCATAGTAAAATTTTGTTTTTCCAGGGAAATCAGAAATTCAGCAATGATGCACTGTGTTTCTCTTAAAGTGAAACATAGTTAATGATATATTCAGAGACATATTTTTATAATCACTTTATTTGTATTATATCATAATGTACTAGAAATATTATAAACACCATTTATAAGATTATAATTAAGTAATCTGCAAGATGGTGGTTGTGCTAAGAACCACATATAGACAACTTTCTTGAAAATACTGGTCAGTTTCCAGTCTTTGGTCTTAGATGTCCTTTGGCCAGTGTTGGTATATCATGGACACAAAATGAATCCTGTATCTGCTATTGTTATCAGTAAAGTCACCCCAGATGACACATTGCCCCAAAAATAGCTGGCAAAGTTTTTAAAAACATAAATTTTTATATGAGATTGAAATTAGTTGTAAACAATCAATAAGTGAACACATTGAATTTCTCTCAAAGTCCTGACTTTTGATATATTTGATGTTTAAAATTAATTCTGCTTTTTATGGATATTAAAAGATCAAGCATGTTAAACATGTCAAAGTGAAGATTGATCCAGTTGGTCTGTTTGAATGTTCTTTTTTGTTTGTTTGTTTGAGATGGAGTCTTGCTCTGTTGCCCAGGTTGGAGTGCAAAGGCGCGATCTTGGCTCACTGCAACCTCCACCTCCCAGGTTCAAGTGATTCTTCTGCCTCAGCCTCCTGAGTAGCTGGGGTTACAGGCGCCTGCCACCACACCTGGCTAATTGTTGTATTTTTAGTAGAGATGGGGTTTCACCATGTTGGCCAGGCTGGTCTCAAACTCCTGATCTCAGGTGATCCACCTGCCTCAGTCTCCCAAAATGCTGGAATTCCAGGTGTGAGCCACTGCATCTGGCCTTGAATGTTTTTTAAAAAACCTCACAGAGTAAAAATGTGTATGCCATGAATTGTGTTGTGAGTAAATTCACAGAAGGGCATGATGAGAATAAACATCCAGCCTGCCAAGGAGAGTCATGCAGAATTTCTTGAAAATATGAGTGTTCACATATTCATTTCAGATTTATTGAACTAAATGCAAATGATCAGAGCAACTCTAGTGCATGATATAATAAGTTTTGTCTGCTGTGATGCTTTAAAACCACAAACCTTTAAAGATATTTAAATATAGGATACTACCCTAAAAGATCAATGCAGATAATTTTTTGAAATAAAAATGCTCCAAAATTATGAAACTACCAAATCTTGAGTGTTGGTATATAAATATGTACTTATTCCACAGACCTCATCCTCTCTTGTCAACTCAGGACTTTGCCTCTGCTACTGTGGCCTCAGACTCCCACACCATCATTTTCTCTCTTTCTGCTGAGTCATCCACATCTGCATAAATAATATAGTATTAATGAAACAAAACCACTCCCATCATCTCCAGTAAATGCCATGCTATTGTTCTGCCTCCGTTTATAAGTTTTCTACAAGAAAACTCCTTGAAAGTAACACCCGCATTATTTTATTTTATTTTATTTTATTTTATTTTATTTTATTTTATTTTTGAGAAGAAGTTTTGCTTTTGTTGCCCAGGTTGGAGTGCAATGACGTGATCTTGACTCACTGCAATCTCTGTCTCCTGGTTCAAGTTACTCTCCTGCCTCAGCCTCCTGAGTAGCTGGAATTACAGGTGTCAGCCACCACACCGGGCTAATTTCTGTATTTTTAGCAGAGACGAGATTTCACTATGTTGGCCAGGCTGGTCTCGAACTCCTGATATCAGGCAATGCACCCCACCCCCCCACCCTTGGCCTCCCAAAGCTGCAATCTGTTTCCAGTTCCTCACCTTCCATTATTCCCTTGGCCCAGTTCCATAGTTTCCTTTATGCCCCACTCCATACCAATTTTGTCAAGGTCATTAATGGTATCAATTATAAAATTCAATGGTTAAGTTTGAGTCTTCACCTTATTCAATCTCAAAGTAAGGTAGGATGCAGTTGAGATATCTCTTTTTATGGAAATATTTTCCTCATTTAATTACTAAAATGTCTCCTGCTCTTGGATTTTCTCCTACCTCATTGAGTATTCCATTTCCATTTCTTTGTTTGTTTGTTGTTGTTGTTGTTGTTTTTGCTTTTTTTTTTGAGGTGGAGTCTCACTCTGTCGCCCAGGCTGGAGTGCAGTGGCGTATCTCGGTTCACTGCAAGCTCCGCCTCCCAGGTTCACGCCATTCTCCTGCCTCAACCTCCCCAGTAGCTGGGACTACAGGCGCCCACCACCATGCCCGGCTAATTTTTTTTTTTTTAATTTTTAGTAGAGATGGGGTTTCATCGTGTTAGCCAGGATGGTCTTGATCTCCTGACCTCGTGATCCACCCGCCTCGGCCTCCCAAAGTGCTGGGATTACAGGCGTGAGCCACCACACCCTGCCTCCATTTCCATTTCTTTGCTATTCATCCTCTTCTTCCCAGTTTCTAAAGGTTGGAGTGCACAGGTCTTCATCCTCAGCAACCTTCCTGCCTTTCTCAGCACACTTCCCTAAAAAATCTTAGCCAGTTTTGTGGCTTTGAATGTGATCTGTATGCTGATCTTCACCAATTTATATCTCTCTGTCTTCCCTCCTAGATTCCAGCTACACTTGAAACTTCTACTTATAATAATAAGCAACTTCAATTTAATTTCACCAGATCGGAACACTGGATTTCCTGCCTCAGCAGCCTTCCCCATCTCAGAAAATGGCACCACTTTTTACCCATTAGCTCGAACCAAATACCAAGAAGTTATTCTCAATGCCCTTTGTGTCCATCAGGTTCCAGTTATGAGACAGAAACTGCTTGGTGATTTAAACAGGGAAAGTTTAATCATTAGCTATAACAGGCGTTGAGAGATTGAATCTCTTGAAGCATTGAGAGATTAGCTACCAAGAGGTAAAGAGATGTCTAAAGAATACAGAGTAGGAGATATAGCCAGCAGCCACTATCTTCAGACCAGAGGCAAAGCATGCAAAGAAAAAAGAACCTGGGTAAGGAATCCTCCCCCTTGCCCCCACCAGCCCACCTCACAGACACACACAGCCAGCACTGAAATGCAGACCTTGCAGGAAATGGTGGCGGGCAGTGGCGGCGGGCGGGGGGGGGGTCCCCTGGATGATGGAGAAGTTCACAAAGGTGCTGTGCTGATGGAACTCGCTGAAAAGTCATTCATAAGGGTATTAGGAAAAGCTCTCCAAGGGGAGAAACTGCATCTCAGGCCATGCTGGGCATCTGTCCAGGAACTGAATGCCTTTGGAAGCTGCCCTCTGAAGGGCAGGGGTGACTGTCCACGAGGAGGCCACATGCATTGTGTGCATTAGGCAGCAGCCTGCTACAAGACAGCAGGTACCAAAGCCAGGGAGAAAAGCCTATTCCTCCCCAAGTACTGCTTCAGCGCCTTGTAATGATGAAGATTAGTTTAGCATCCTGCCCACTGGTAAGGGAGAAACATGCTAG